GACTGAGACTCCATCTCAGAAAAAAAAAAATTTAGCCAGGCATGTCAGAAAAAAAAAAAAATTATCTGGGTGGTATAAGCCTGTAGTTCCAGCTACTCCAGGAGGCTGAGGCAGGAGAATCACTTGAATATGGGAGGCAGAGGTTGCAGTAAGCCAAGCTCGTGCCACTGCACTCCAGCCTGGGCAACAGAGTGAAACTTCATCTCAAAATAACAACAATAGAAATCCTACCTTCTAGCATTACTAGATACTCTCATCAAAACCATTTCTCACACACACACACACACACACACACACACACACACACACACACACACACACAGAAGCTGGGGCTTAGAGTAGTTAAGAAAGTTGCTCCAAGTCACTAGCTGAGATCCAAACTCACCATGAGCTATCCGACTCTAATAAGAACCTTGATGTGATAATTTTAAAATATGTCCAAAAATTATCTGACCTTCCTCCCTTCAAAAGGTGAATCACTAATCACTGTAAAATCACTAAGTCCTCTGACTTAGTGATTTTCTTCTAAATCTTAAAATGAGGTTATGTCCTAAAAAGAATACCTTCTGCCCTGTTGTCTCTCTCTCGCTCGCTAGGATCACTCACTCTGGGGGAAGCCAGAGTGGTGATAAGGCCATTAGAGAAGCCTGTGGAGAGGCCCACACTGGGAGGACCGGGGCATCCCACCAACCACCACTACCACCGTGTCAGCCCAGCGAATGAGCTGCCTCGCAGAATGCCACGACCCCGGTGAAGGCTTCAGATGTCTGCAGCCCTAGCTGATACCATGATGGCAACCTCATGAGACTCCAAACCAGAATTGCCCAACCATATTGCTCCCAAATTCTTCACCTACAAAAACTGAGAGAAGTAATAAAAGTATAGGTTTATTGTTGTTTGAAGCAAAGTTTTAGGGTTACTTAGCAATAGATAACTAGCATGCTTGACTTTTAGCTGATTTTCATGTTAAAATTGAGGTCCTGAAACTATAACCTGACTCATTTTTGCAAATAAGTTTTGTGTACAGATACCTCAAAGGGGATTTTCCAGTAATAGCAGACATCAGAATAGTATCAATATGGTTTAAGAATATGAAGAAAATGATAGAGCAAGTATAGTAAAACATTAACGGTAGACTCTAAGTGGCAGGTATAGGAGTGTTCATTATAAAATGTTTTCAAGTTTTTCGTATATTTGGAAAGTTAATAATAAAGTGTTAGGAAAAACAATCAGTATGTCACCTTTGAATGACTTCTGGTATCAATTTTTGCTTTTCTTCAATAAGGAAGTGTTTTGTTTTGTTTTGTTTGTTTTGTTTCAAGACAAAGTCTTGCTCTGTTGCCCAGGCTGGAGTGCATAGCTCTTACTCAGGGATCAATTATTTACTCACAGAGATTTTGGACTCCTTGACCAGAGGGCACAGGGCTGGAGGAAGGTGCAGTTCCCACAGTGAGAGGCTGTCTGAAAGCAGGACAAGAGTCTGGGAATTGACAATATCCCTAAGCTTTGACCAACAGAATATCAATCAGCCCCTGGATTGGGTGTGTTGATTCTCACTTATACACGTCTATTTTGTGTACACATAAATGCAAACTCTCTGAGGAGATGACAGCTCTCTGCCTAGGATATATAAAGAAAGCATCCTCAAAAAGATTCTTGCTAGGCAATAAATAAGGATTACTTATTCTAATCTGGGCTGTCTAAAGCCATTTCACCTTCTCTGAAAGATTTACTGCTGTAAGGAAACTGAGACAGCACAATAGTATTTACCCTCATATACTTCATGAATAATGCCAGTTACTAAACATAGAGGAGACAATTTTTCAAAATAAAATTGAGAATCTAAGATGATAGTTTCCATTCAAAATATATTAGTAATTATACTTACACATTAAAAACATTTCTAATCAAATAAAACCACTCCCTCATTTGACAAAGAGAACAACACAAGTTTTTCTGTCATATTGTGTACAAAACAATAATATTTACAGTAAGCTTCAATATGTTTTTATTTACTTCATATTGAGAGTTATTTTAGTGTCTTGAAGTACAATGAGTAAATCAGAAATAAAAAACACATTTCTGTTGATACACTCTTGAAATATTTATATTTTACAGTAAGAAGCCATCAAGGCCTTAAAAATAATTTAAAATACTACATTCACAAATGTCAGAATGCAAGTGCACTTTAAAAGGTGGTTCTATCCACAGGTATGTTCTCAGTGGGAAAAAAAAAGTTGGTTCTGCTTTAACTGAAAACTCATTAAAATGCAGAGTCACCTCTTTTTGTCAAGCATTATCAAATTTGTCCACACACTTTATCTCTAAGTCTTTCAAACTGTGCTTTACTAAAAAGAGATACTCCAAAATAAAATCTCTAGTAGAGCTTTCAATAAATAATAATAAATAATACTTATATTTAATACTAGGCCATTTCAATTGTATATAAATATAGCTATTATTTATAATTCAATAAATAATTTATAATTCAACAAATAGCTATATTTATATACAATTGAAATAGCATAATATTAAAGACAAATACTGGATGTCGGAGTTAGTATTTCATATGTTTAAGATTTAAAAGAAGTATAGTAGACAAATTTCTAGCTAATAGTAGCTCAGACACATAGTAGCTCAGTCTATACTGGCATCATCGGAAGAAACTCTCACGCCCTTGCCCCACCTTCTCCTTTCAGCCTTTCTACGCTTCTGGTATGTGAAACTGCAAACTCCTCTGAGGAAACCAGACAATTACTGTGCTTTAGGCTGTGATTCCTGAACTTAAACCCCACCCTCCTTCTGTTATAGGGCAAATATATGACACAGCATTTATTTTGATCTTACCACTGGAATACCCTTTCAACATAGTTCTGCACACAGGCACTGGGGCCAGCATCTAATGTTTTAGGTTATTTTAATGTAATCTAATGTTTTATTACCACAAAGACTGCAGGGTTTTTTCTCCCACTTCTGCCTGCTTATGCCTTATTTTCTCCACTTTCTATTATTAGTAGCAGTATATTTCTTAGGAAAGAAAGCATAAATATAGTATGTAAGAAACAGAATAGATAGAGCATACTGACTAATTTTTATAAAGTATTGTTTGAGAGTACAACATTCTCTATGAACCTCCCAAAACAAATGTGGTTTCTGAATGTGCTTGGCAAGTAACTTTCAAAAGCTAGTAAGTGGGCCGGGTGCGGTGGCTCACTCCTGTAATCCCAGCACTTTGGGAGACCAAGGCAGAAGGATTGCTTGAGACCAGGAGTTTGAGACCAGCCTGGGCAACATAGGGAGACCTGTTTCTAGAAAAAATTAAAAATTAGCCAGGCTTGGTGGCACATGTGCCAGTAGTCCTAGCTACTCGGGAGACTGAAATGAGAAGATTGCTTGGACTTGGGAGGTTGAAGCTGCAGTGAACCATGATTGTACCACTGAACTCCAGCCTGTGCATCAGAGCAAGACCCTGTCTCAAAAAAAAAAAAATTTTTTTTAAGGTAATGAGCAAAACTGGCTTATGAGGTAATGCTGATACTATTCGAGTATGCTATGTGTCCAGACCTAAGTCATTAGTCACCTGTTCTCAGAAAAGGACATATATCAAATTGCACCTGATATTGGATGCTGTGGTCTACTATATTGTACATTAAACATGCAAAGCCCCAAAACAAAGCATAGTAATAAAAGTACAAACTTCCAAATCAAAGCTATAGGAAGTAAGATTCATTTACAAGCATCTAATTAGGTTTTATTAATCTCTCAACAAAATAGTAACCCCTTTCCATTTCTATAGCAAATGCTACAACACTTCCACATCTCATTTCACTCTAGGACATTCTGTGAGATAAAAATGGTATCTTCATCCTCTTTTCCAGGCCCAGGGCTACAGTGAGGTAAGTGAGGGACTTGTCTAAGGTACAAAATGTAAGGCAGTACCAAAAAACTTAGCAATCAAGAAAATAATATTTTAATACAATACTTTAAAACATCAAAATTAATGCAAAACAATGAACAAAAAAGTCAAAGTTTTAAACAAAGACAGGGTCAACATTACTGAATTTTCCTTTTGCCTTGAGTTCTAGTACGTCTCAGTGTGACACCGCCCTTTTCAAGGACAAGGAAACTGAGGAACAGAGTGTTAATTTCACATTCCACACTAGAAGGCTCATTACAGCAGAAGCAGGACCAAACCAACCCAGATTCCTTTCTTTTTTAAGTTCGGGGTACAACTGCAGATTCGTTACATAGGTAAACTTGTGTCACAGGGGTTTTCTGCATAGATTATTTCAGTACCCAGATGCTAAGCCTAGAACCCATTAGTTATTTTTCCTGATCCTCTCTCTCCTCCCTCCGGTAGGCCCTAACGTGTGTTGTTCCCCTTTGTGTGCCCATGTGCTCTCACTGTCCAGCTCCCACCTGAAAGTAGGGAGAACATGTGGTAATTGGTTTTCTGTTCTTGTGTTAGTTTGCTGTGGATAATGACCTCCAGCTCTATCCATGTTCCTGCAAAGGACATGGTCTCATTCTTTTTATGACCAGTCGATATTTCTGTGCTAATAATCCAGGCCAGTTTCCTTCAGTGAAGTCCTCTATTTTACAAGAGAAAATCTCTGCCAGTAGTTTGAAGAGCCTCATAATCAATCTCCCTGAAATCATATTATTCATAAATAATCTGAAGGCTGAACTAAACTCAAGCCAATCTTACATGAAATGTGAAATGTGTGAATTGACATAAAATCCAGTGAAATATTAATTTATTTAGTTCACTGATGCAATATATTTCTGAAACCAGATTTTTTAAATGGATACTTACTGATGGAAGAGTAAGTGTCTTAAAAGAACCTTTAAGGAAAACAGAAAAGAAAACAGAGTTAGCACAATTTGAATATGATGATAGAATAGAAAACTTCCAAAACTTTCCCAATACTCTTATACATGTAAATGAAATCATAAATATATTTGGTCAAACCAAAATAACTTTTAAATGCCCAGAAGACCCAATAAATTATTACATATCTTTGTGCCAAACAATTAAAAATCAGGATTAAAAGAGTGTCAGTGGATGAACACAAAAAACATTAGGTTCTGCTTCTCTTTGCTGTTATCATGTCTGTTGTCACGTTGCTGCTGCCCTTTTTGCTGTTTTAGGGTTATATGTGCTTGAAGGACACTTTACACACTGTACAGAAGTAGCCTGAGGTTTATTTCTTGTTCTCATACCCTTGTGATAAAGAAGAAAGGAAGGCATTAGTCATATCAGGGGTGAGCTGGGACTCATAACTGACTCATGAGTACCAGGGGAATGCAGACTTTTTTTCATGTAAAGTTTCTATCCATTGGACTACTAATTAAACTCATGCCAATTTCTCATCAGATCCATTTATTTCAAGGGGAAAAAATGATTTCATGTTAAAAATAAAAGAGTACTTGTCCAAAGTTCCTATTGGAGATGACAGCCCCTTGGGAAATAAAATGGGGCAAAAGATGATTTTTAAAGAGAGAGAAGGAAATGATAGGCCCAAGTTCCTTCATTCATTTAAAAACTGGCACAATGTGCAAGACAGACGTAGTCCCTCTTCTCCAGGAAGCCAAATGAGTCTATCATGCGAGGGCAGAGGAACCAGAGCACAGCACAGCACAGCACACAGCGGGGGTTAAGCTAGCGGCATCTGGAGTCAGACTACATCATGAATTTCCTACATACTGACCCTGTCTTGAACAAATTACCTGATTCTCCAGCTCAACTTTTTTCATCCTTAAGATTAGGATGCTAATAATCCTGCCAATCTCATGAGGTGGTTGTAAGGAATAAGTATGTTGATACCTGTAAAGCATATAGAACAGTACCTGACACATAGGAAACACTTGATGTATGGTAGCTATTATAGTGACAAAAAGCTTGAAGAGTTTTCCATTAGGGATGACAGCATGCCCCTACAGACATGGTCTTAAAATTTTATGATAGAGTACTCCACCAATAAAAACACTTAGTATACCTTATTGATGTCAAATTAGATTTATAAAATTATATACATGTATTTTGTCAACCAAAATATTAAACATTAGAAAAACTTTAATCTCTACCCAAGCACAGTGGCTCACACCTGTAATCCCAGCACTTCGGGAGGTTGAGGCGGACAGATCATCAAAGGCCAGCCAAAATGGCAATACCCCATTTCTCCTAAAAACTACAAAAATTAGCCAGGCATAGTGGTGCACCTGTAGTCCCAGCTACTTGGGAGACTGAGGAAGGCTTGAACCCGGGAGGCAGGGATTGCAGTGAGCTGAGATCATGTCACTGCACTACGCCTGGGCAACAGAGCAAGACTCTGTCTCAAAAAAAAAAAAAAAAGAGATGAGAAAAACTTTAATTTCTTAGCTTTGCTCAATAAAATAACAGAAATGAGAGTTACTACATTTTCTACTTGCATCCTTATGAATGGTCTTATATACTCTTAGCTGTGTGCACACTTACTGTGAAAGCTACCACCCCAGCGGGCCTCAATGAAATACAAGTATGTTTTGAGGAACAGATAAGTAATTCATCACCACACTTATCATCTAGCACAGATCAGTTCATCCAATAACTGTCATCGTAGGAAGCAAAGAGCAAGACTCTTAAATAATAGCACATTGAACATGGTGTTTCAAAAAGGTGAAGAAGGAAGTATCATGGAACAGATATACGTAGGACAGGTAGGACAAGGAGTACATTGGAGGGATCAAAGGAAGGCATCTAGAGAAAATGACGCCAGCATCTAGGGTTGTAGGCTATGGAGAAATTAGCCATATGAGCAAGGAGGGGTACAATGTTACAGGCAGAGGTGCAGCAAATGCAAAGTAGTCAAGATCAGCCTGAGTCTACCAAACCAAAGAGCTGAGTAAGCAAAGACCACAGGTAGAAAGAGAACAGTAGCCAGGAGACTGGGCCCAATCATAAGGGCTCTTTGGACAAGACGAGGCCTTACCAGGATTGTCCCAGGTGACACTGTTATTCCAGCATCCTGATTTAGTACTTGTCTTGGATCTTTTTTTGGTTAGCAAAATACAATTCTAGAATGGGTTTAATGCTCACATAAATTAACTTTGAAGATGTTTATTCTTTTTTTAATTGACAAGTAATAATTGTATATGTTTATGGTATGCCACATAATGTTTTGATAGATGTGTACCTTATGGAATGGCTAAATCACACTATTTAACATGTACCTTACCTCACATAACTATTTGTGGAAAGGATCAATTAAAATCTACTCTCAGTAATTTTCAAGTATACAACATGTTGATATTAACCATAGTCACCATGCTGTACAATAGATCTCTTGAAATAATTCCTCCCCTATAACTGAAATTTTGTGTCTGTTGACCAACATCTCCCCATTCCCTTAACCCCCAGCCTCTGGTAACTGCCATTTTACCCTATATTTCTATGAGCTTATCTTTTTTACACTTCACATATAAGTGAGATCAGGCAGTATTTGTTTTTCTGTGCTTGGCTTATTTCACTTAACATAATGTCCTCCAGTTTCAACCATGTCATTGAAAATGATAGGACATCCTTCTTTTATAAGGCTGACTAGTATTCCATTATGTATATATACCACACTTTCTTTATCCATTTATCCATTGATGGACGCTGCCATTAATTCCATATCTTACATATTGGGAAACATGCAGTGGGCATGGGAGTGCAGATATCTCTACAACATACTGATTTTATATCTTTGGATATATGCCAGTAGTGCTTTGGGAGTATCTTATCTTGTAGGAAGGAACTTCTGTTCATTAAGCTTACTTTTAATGAGAAAAATTTATTCTATTCTATACTGAATTGAAGTGAAATTGAAAAGCCCTAGGATATTTCAGCAAGTAAACTTGATAACACCTTCAAAGGAACCACAGAGACAATTTACTGGACAAATTTTGTCCATTTATTGAAGAGAACCAGGGGGCTCTGCAAGCAGACCCTGTGAAATATTTGGGCTGAAACATTTAAACATTGCAATAAGGGGGTGAGGGGGATGGAACTGAGCATACCATCCATATAGCAGAATTTGTTCTGATCTTACCATGTACCTCAGCATGTGTGGAGATGGTGTTTTCTTAATTTAAAATACTATGGTCAGATCACTTGAATATCAAAATAAATAATGGGTTACAACCTACTGAAAAAAACAAGAATCTGTGAGTTCATGCTCATGTATAATTAAATACATGACTGACTGAAAGAGAAGAAAAAGTTATTCCTTACCATAGAATTCCAACTAATAAATGTAGAAGGAATGGTGGAATTCAAAAATTTCACAACTATCACAAAATAATGGCAATAATCATCAATCTAGCATATATAAGTTAAATGAGAATTGTGAGAAATAATAAACCATTGTTGTTTTAATCTACTAAATCTGGGGGTGGCTTGTTTCACAGCAACAGATGATTGGAATACTTCGGAAATGAGCAGGATTAACTAGCAACTCTCTAGAGCTACTCAGTCTCATGCAGGAGCCTCTAAACACATGTGACTATTGAGCCACTGAAATAAGCAGCAAGTGTAAAATATACCCCATATTTTTGAGACTTACAACCAAAAACAATGTAAAATATCACGTCAGTGATTTTATAGTGATTAAATGTCCAATTGATAATATTTGTAAATTATTGGGTTAAATGAAATATATTATTACAGGTAATTTCACCTGTTTCTCTTTTTTTTTAAAGAAGCTACTAGAAAATTCCCAATAACTTACATAGTTGACTTATACTTCTATTGGACAGAACTGGTCTAGTGGATAGAAGGCTTAAATTTGTGTTTAGCAACGATAAAACAACCAACAGATCAGACAGAATGCAATTTTTTAATTTTATGAATAAAACAATAATAATAGTAGTAGACACCACTTACAGAATGTTCTAAAGCATTACATCTATTAACTGGTTTCATGCTCACAACAATACTATTAAGTATTACTACTCTTATTTTACAAATGAGAACACTGAGACACAGAGATGTGAAATGACCTGCCCAGGGTTACACAGACAAAAAGTCGTGGGGCCAAACTTCTGACCCTGACCACTTGACTCATGGGTCTCAGCTCTAAACCACTGCTCTGCAATGACTCTTAGTATAAAAAATAGTTGTATGCAAATCAATCAATGTGATACATCATATCAACAGAATGAAGGGCAAAAACCATATGATTATTTCAATTGAAGCTGAAAAAATATTTGATAAATTTCAACACCTCTTCATGATAAAAACCCGCAGAAGGCTAAGTATAGAAGAAACATACCTCAACATAATAAAAGCCATATATGACAGACCCACAGCTAGTATCATACTAAATGGGGAAAACTGAAGGCCCTTCCTCTAAGATCAGGAAGATGACAAGAATGCCCTCTTTAACCACTCTTATTCAACACAGCACTGGAAGTCCTAGCTAGAGCAATCAGACAAGAGAAAGAAATGAAGGGCATCTAAATTGGAAAGGAAGAAGTCAAATTATCCTTGTTTGCAGATGATATAATTTTTTAAATGTACTTATTTTTTAAAGATAAGTAGACACAGGGTCTCCCTGTGTTGCCCAGGCTGGTCTCAGACTCCTGGGCTCAAGTTATCTGGCCCTCCTCCACCTTCCAAAGTTTTGGGATTACAGGTATGAGTCACCATGCCCAGCCAATATGATCTTATATTTGGAAAAGCCTAAAGAATCCACCAAAAATGATTAGAACTGATAAACTCAGTCTAGTTGCAGGATAAAAAAATTAACATACAAGAATCAGTACAATTTCCATATGCCAACAGTGAACAATCTGAAAAAAACAAGAAAGTAACCCCATTTACA